CCCCAAAACCCCAAAACCCCAAAACCCCAGCCTATTATTTCCCATTGAAAAGTTCTTATAGTAGATAGTACTAAAAATCTAGCCTCTTGGATTTCACTAAAAAATATTATTAGAAGTACTCTATAGACTAGGCAGCCTTTGGAGGCTTGCCCTGACCTATATTTCCCTAAAAGAAAGCTTAAATAAACTTATTAAGGAGGATTAGCTGAAGTAAGAATTTCCTGTTAAGAGAGTTTTTATTGTGAATTGGTGATGGAGGTAGTAGGATGAACTTCTGATGTGAGCTATATTACCCTTTATTTTCAAAATTTTCTCCTAGCTTGGATCCTCCCTTTATCAAGATTTAGGTAAACATTATGAAATATTCACCTTGTACTAATTAAAGTTACTCATGTCTTAGATTTTATTAAATTTATACTAAGTTAAAAACAGTGAAACGTTAACTCAATTTACCAAGATAAAGAGATAAGCAGGCAACCAGAAAGTATGGGTTATTACTAGCTTGGATTATTAGTGACAAATACTTTAATAACTCCTCATTAAATTTTCATCATCCAACTCTATTCATATTATTTCTCTTTTCATCATTAACACTCAAGTCTCTGGATTGAACTTGGGTTTGAATGAGCTTCACCGCTACTGGAATGTAGTAATTTTATCAAGTTTAATTTTTTAACCAAATTTAGTGGCTATATAGTCTTCGAACAACATTAATAGCTACTATCCATTTTGCGTCATCGATTACATTAATAGAATTGTTATTAAAATTAGTAATTTCGACAATACTCTGAAAATTTTCATGCCATCCGAGTATATTCAATAAATACTTTAGCCCATAATAGTCGAGACTCTTCAGTTTAGCACGTTAGGTGGGGCTTTAGTTATTAAAAAAGCAAGATATTTAAACTTTAAAATTGTTTTTAAACCTAATAACACCCAGAAATATTGGAGGATTTCAAACAATTTCTTGGCTTGAGGCCATTAAGTTGATAAGACTTCAAAAATAATGGAGTGAATAGAAACAAATAATTCTGCTCGCACTCTTCTTATCCCTTAATTATAACAAAATAGGTCAGATTATTAGAGTTATTCTGGATTTTCTCGAAACTGATTTTAATCAGGCTACTAAAGTGAAAGGTATCAACAATCAATCGCGGTGGGATTACGTACATTATATTTTGATGTTCGAAACAATTAAGGAGTATCTGAAATCAATAACAAATCAGAGTGTTTTAGCATCGTAGCAAGTGCCTGGTGATCGGAGGATCTCAAATATTCTTAGTCCTAGTTTAAGAACTAGCCAATTTTAATAAAATGCAAATAGCCACTTCCAACACTCTCTTTGTCTTTAAGGGCTGCGAAAAAAATAATTAATTGAGAATTCAGGTTAGGAAGAAAACTAGATTTTATGAATAAACTTTTAAGGGAACAAGTTAATGTTTAGATGTATGGAGTGAGCTTTCGTAAGCAAATCCAACTAATTCATGATAGCCAACACTTCATCTCTGAGGACTCTTATCCTTGGGTCTTCCAATTTCTGCGCAATGTAGCAGCACAAAGTAACCAAGCTATCAGAGGCAAGCGCATTTTTGAATTTCTTTCTTGAAAAAGCTTGTACTCAGGTTTGGAAAGCAGTAACTTCATTCTTAATTGTCTTTTGTCATGAACTGCTGGTAAAATTCTTGATGCTAGTAATTCCAATTGTATAATAGATTAAGTCTTCTGTCAGGAACTCTTGAGGAACAAAAGAAGAAAGGAGCACCTTCATTCTTGCGTAAATATCTTCAATAGGGAGCTTTCTGTGCATCTTATCGCTGATATCTCTGTTTTGGCTTTTGTAAGAGTTTTTGAAAAATCTTTTCAGTAGTCTGAGAGCAGTCTTATACTCTACATCTTTGCGAACACCAGTGGATATGAGAGAGGATGATTTAGTAATAGCCTTTGCTCCTTTATCCTCTGAATATGAATTTAATATGTTAAGCTTCATTACTCTCTTTGAGTCCTTTTTGATTTGGAATATTTCTCCACGCTTGGCTGGAGCTTCTTCTCTGGTCAACATAAGACTTTCTGAAGAAGATGTTTGCTTCTCTTGAAAGTTTTCATTACTAAGGCCTTCTTCTGAAATATTTGAGGAGAGCTCAATAAGATTCTCTTTATTATCCTTCTATAAATTTATGAATATTAGGAAATCTCAGATTAATAAGACTTTAAAATATCGTGTAAATATGCTCTCTTGTAACTCAAAACTAGACATAGAGTAAATGAAGAGATATTAAATTTCTTCTGAAATTTCAAAAATCTAAACTTTGATGGCGAGGATCAAGAACAATTTGAACTACATTATAAGAATTTACTGAGCGGAGGGAGTTGTGCGTTACGAAAGAGTTCACCAAGAAGAACTATACTTACTTGTTGGAGGCTATGAGCTGCTCAGTTAGCAAAGATATTTCCTGGATACAAATAGCTATAGAAATAAGAAACTGATAAAGATTTTCTTACGTTTCATCGTAGTTAATTTTGCTCAGATCAGTGATCTCAGTCAGGAGTTTTACAGTTTGATTATTCATGGTTATTAATAAATCTTATTTCAATTTTTTTATACTATCTCGGGGTTTTGGGGTTTTGGGGTTTTGGGGTTTTGGGG